GCCATGGACACCCACACGCGGTGGAAACTACGGCGCGCTCGCCCCTGGAGCCTGGCCGTGGCGCTCCTCTGCGCCCTCGCAGCCCCCAACCGCGCAGGTAAGGGATCGCGCGCAGCTGGAGGGCCAAAACAGGGGAGGCCACTTCTCCCACGGCGTGACAGGCTCTGTCCTCCCGCGCCCGCCCGGCATCCCAGAAGGGAGATCCGCGACGGGAGGCAGGAAACTTTGCAAACTCGCCTGAACTGAGCAAGGGACGCCCCCTCCTTGCGGCTTAAGACGGGAAAGGGACAGAGAGAGAGAGAGAGAAGGGGGAGCCCGGACACCCAAGCGGGAGGGAAGCGCGGATGTAGGCAGAGAGAAGGGACCCCCGAGGGTCATCTAGTCCAACCCTGGATCACCCGGGAAAGCTCGCTTTGAGTCGCTCACTGAGAAGGACCACTGGGTTGAGCCCTTCCTGCCCTTCAGGACCCCTGGCAGGTGGCCTTCTGACCTCTGTTGAAGAATCCCCTTGAGAGGTTGAGAACCCCCCCCGCAGCGCCCCCTCCCCCGTAAAGGAGCTCAGTGTTGCATGAGGTTTTGTGACAGCAAAGGGGGGGGGGTGGCAGGAAGAGAAAGAGGGAAAATGCTTTTATCGTGGCCCTGGGGGCCCAGAGCGAGATCCGAGGAGACGCCTCCGAGCATCCCTGCCAAAGTTGCATTCTGGATTTCAAAGGGTTTCGCGTGAACAGTGTGGCCTGGACAGGATGGGGTGGGGTGGGGTGGGTGAGGCCCCCGTGCAAGAAAAAGACCCGATTCGGAGGGTGGTAGGTGCCCCTGACGGTCCTGTTTGCAGAGCATCCTTACCAGCTGTGGGAAGAAGGGGAAAAAAAGGTCTCTGGCAGGAACCACATAGACTAGACTCCCACCGTGAAAGGTGAAAGGAGGAGGAAAACCAGGCCCAGAGGAGGAGAAGCTTGTGGGGAGGGGGGGGCGGCGGAGCCCAAGAGGGTCCAGGCTGGGACTTTGCCCTGGTTTCGGGAAGGGCCTCCAAAGTCACGGCTGCCTGTCCCGCAAGACGTAGGCTCTGTCTTGGAGAATAACCAAGCCTGGCTTTAGCTGATCAAGAGAAAGGGACCGTCCCTGGGCCAGGCCGTCCTCTGCACCCAATGTGAGATCAGGAGGTTGAAAAAAGGGGGGGCTGCTTTTTCTTTGCTGCTCTTGGAAGGATGGATTTGGCTGAATTCGGCCAACCTCTGCCTGGCTTTTTTCTCTACAATCCATATCTATGTATTCTTAGAGTTGGTTAGGTGCGGTGTGTGTGTGTGTGATAGATTGAACAACACAGCAAGGACGGGCTGCCTCGAGGAGGGTTGCACGGCCAACGGCGTGAGCCCTCTCCGTGGCCCACCCGTGCCTGAACTCTGTGCGAAAGGCTTACGTGTCACTGGGAGCCAAAAGCCGAGCTGGAATTACGTCCTTTTGCTTCCAGATGCTGGCGGACTGGAAAAATCTTCTCACAGGGAGCAGCAGCCGCCCTTGCGTCAGGAATGTACTGCTGACCCTGTGTGTAAAACTTTNGGGGGGGGGGGAGAGAAGAAGAATCGGTAGGAGGAGGGATGAGAAGCGACGGTCTCACTAGAAGCCACAAGAGGTGCTTCCTTGGTGGTGGGGTGTGTGTGTGTGTGTCAGATCTCCGAGCAAAGCAGATTCATTTGAGAAGCTGGGGCTAGCTCAGCTCTGCAGAGCTCGGCCAGGGAGGCCCTCAGAACCAGGCAGCATCGGGGCCGGGCCCTGGAGTGGCGTCAGTGATTCTTCTGGAGATTCATCCCAGAGAATCCCTTGGAAGGAAGCCATGGCAGTTCTGCAGCTGCAGCCACTTTTTGAGACCAAAACAGCTGGGCCAGAGGTTGGGAGTTCGATTCCCCTTATCCTTGACAGGGGCTGGAGACTCGATGATCCCACAGGGTCCCTTCCAGCTCCACCATTCTAAAATGACCATCAAGAGAATCCAGAAAGGCAGGAGGTTGGATCCATCCATATCAACCCTGGAGGGGCAGGTCTTTTGTAAAGTTAACGTCCCTTGGTTGCCCACAAGGTGAACCAAACCGCTTGTAATGACCCTCATTCCCACTCGGGGGGGGAGTGTAGCTTGCCACAGTCCCTGTTCTGGGAAAATCCATCTCTCTTGCCCAGTTACTGCCAGGATTGCGACTAAGGGAACAGAAGCAACAGAAGGGCCATTCTGCTCCTCCCTTCCCCAGGCCCAGCCTTGCCTGCCGTGTGACCTCACAAGGATCTGTGCCTCAGATGCAAGAGGGGACTGTCCCAAAGCAGGGTTGCGCCCCAGATACTGGCCAAGCGGGGACTAGGCACAGGGCTTTTGTGCTGGCCCAGTCTTCTTCCACCCAGGCCTTCCGGGCCCCACTTCCGAAGGGCACCCGTCCTGAACGTGAGGGTGTGAGAGAGCCTAATGGGTCTCTGGAGAAGACTAAGGTTTGGTCCCATCCGAAGGAGCTGAGTTTTTAAAAATTATTGGATATTTGCTGAAAACTCCCTATTTTCGACCCTGTTTGCAAAAGGAGTGGAGCCAAAATATCGCAAATGTGATTCCCATTTTCTCGTCTGTGCGCCTGCTGTTTGCCAGGAATCCAGATGTGGGAGATGAAAGCCTGCGAGTAGGCCTGGGGGGAGGATGCAAGACAGCGGGGAGGGGGGGAGAGGGAGGGAGGGAGGGCAAGTGCTTGGAAATGACCTCATGCCAGAGGCTTGAGGTCCTGGCACAAACGCTGCCAGCTTGCAAATCCTCTCGGCCGCCATGAAATGGATCTTCGTGTTGCACATACGTGACTACAGTACGCATGTGCCTCCATGTGAACACACCTGCGTGTTTTGTCTTGGCTCACAGGCCAGTTGAAAAAAAAGGTCTGAAAAGCATCTGAAATCTACTGCTTCTTTTTCTTTCTTTCTTTTTACTTCTTAGCTTCTTTTTGTAGTTGAGCTAGACTGTTCCATACCAGAAGTACATTTTCTGCAACTCGAGGTATATGGAATGTTGTTTGTTTGGTATTGTACTGTATGTAAATACTTCCTTTGCAAAGCAAAGCAAAAACCACTAGGCTCATAATACCTTGCATCTCCCATGGAGCTTCATCCCGTTTGTCCATTTCACATGTCAGAAAGTACATTTTCTGCAGCTTGAGGTGTTTGGGGCGTTGTCTGTTTGGTGTTATGGGTAGATGTTTACCTTTCAGAAGAAAACTCGGTAAAGTCACAACTGCACTGTCCATCTTACATTTTCCATTAAGCAAACATGGAGGGATGGCTTAGCCCAAACCTTCATGGCCACAAATAAGACCCTGTTTCTACCTTTCCAGAAGCAGTGTGGGCTTCTTCCCATCCTGCTTTAGGCAGTATCCATCCCGGGGTCAGGAATAGGAGGTATTGGTATCTGGCCATCCAGAGCTCCACCAGCCGCCTTCAGGGTGATGTGGGTGCAAAGTAGGTCTCCTTGCCCTGATACTGTAAACAAAAGCATCCTCAGCGTCATTTCAGGCAAGGGTCCCGTCAAGGCCCTGAACCCGGATTTCCCAAATGCTGGTGGCCAAGAACCGTGACAGAAGGCGGCTGGGTTGGATGGAGGCCCTTGAGTGGAAACCAGGAGGCAAAGCAAAGGAGAACCCCAGCAGAAATTTGCAACAAAGTGATCAGGATTTTAAAATAATATAGTACATTGAACCACTCGAAAGGATTTCATCCCAAAGACATTCGAGAGTTGGCAGATGGTTCTCTTTGAAGGCTGTTGGTTTGTTTTGCTTTTTAATGGAAAAACAGTCACAAACAAAACTCGTAATAGGGGAAAAAGAAGAAGTGATAAGGAGATTGTTTAGATTTGTCGGGAAAGTTCTTGAGGGAGTTTTGTTAGGGAATCATCCTGCAAGCCCATATGGGAACAGACTGCGTCTTCAGACAAGCGGGATACTGTTGAAATTCCATCCGGGTGAGTCACTCCGCCTCTGCCTGCTGGTCTAGGGTCATTCCTTGTGTGTCAGGAGAGACGTGGAAGAGTTAGGGGTGAGGGTGGGAGTTGGTGATGTCACTGGGATAGTGCGGAGGAAACTGGAAGCAACTCCCACCTCAGATATGGGTATCCCCAGAAGCAGGAACCTGAGGACGCGCAGGGTTGCAATGGGATTGCCCATTCCAACTCTCTGTGGTCTTGCAGTCATGTATCTTTGGCATTATTGCATGCCGGTAGACTAGGAGAGAACTTTTAGCGTGGCCTGACAGAGTCTTTGAAAGCAGTCGTCTTGGGAGGAGGCTCTGCTGTGTCTCTGTATGATCCCCTGCTCTGGATTTGGTGCCATCCCCATGGCCTCCTCCATGGGAGATGTTGCAGGCTGGTCATACTCCTTCTGTCTCTGTGGGACACAATCCCGTTCAATGTAGTGGATTGATTGGCCATCTACTTGACTTATTGCTCTTTGTCCCGTTCCACCAGGAGCCATCGGCGGTTCAGGCAGAAATAGAGGGGAAAAGTTCTTGCAGTCCAAAGCCATCTGGAGGTAGGCATCCACCTTCAGACTCTTAAGAGATGGGTTCATCCTGGCATGCAAATCATTGCTTTGGTGGGCTGCAGTCATTAGGTTAGATGAGGGATGTAAAGAATCCTTGCTAAATTCTTTGTCCTTATAGCTTTAAAAGCTGTCTTGCCTTGACACCTTGATGAGAAGTCTTCGAGATCTGAATAGTTGGTCAGGGCTAAGCTATGTGGGGACTGGAATCTGGTAGTCACTACCTATTAAGCTCTGCACACCAAGCTTCTTTAGAAAAGAGAAGAAAGGAAAGGAAAGGAAAGCCAAAGCAAAAACTACCAGGGTCATAGTCCCTTGCATCTCCCATGAATCTTAGTCACACTTTCCTGTTTCCTTTTTCTTCCCATATTGAGTAAAGTCCAAAAAATCTCCTTATGGATTGATTTAAAGATGTGTTGAAAGTTATAGTGCATTGTTTTCGGAACGTTTTGATATGATCAATTCTATATTCCAGAATTTGCACTGTTATCAGTGATGTTCTATCAACATTTCCCAGTGTTTGGGAGGAAGCATATGTATCTGTTCC